TTGTACTGCCTTATACTGCAGAAAACAGCGATGACAAGTCAGTGGAAGACCTCTACACCAAAGCACCAATAACACACATAGTTCAGGCACAGTCCTTTCAGAAAGATGAACAAGAAACAGCTACAACACAGTCAAAACAAGTGGTCAACACCTACACACTAGATACAGGTAATACATGATAAAATAGTCGCTTATAATAAAGACATGTTGAAAAACTTCATGTTATATTTTTTATATACACCCATATATTATTGTATCTTTCCACAGATGAATACAACAAACCTACTGGTGACAAAGTTAAAAAGTTCAGGGGTCACTACCGTAGAAGACCTTCTATCCATAGTACTACTTCTATTCCACCCCCTACTGAACCAAAAAGTACCGAACCCCCAAAACAAACATACTCCACCGAAAATAAGATCTACAGTCGCAGAAGGAGACCTCAACAACAAACCACCACATCCACACTACCTTCTGTAACGACTAGAAGTAGAAGACCTATCAGAAGACGACCAAGTACTACCACCACTGAGAAGCACCCGAATCATAGGTACCCAGAGGAAGCTGATGGTTTGAGAGTTGTAGCTGCTCCGAAATTGTCACCGCACGTCATTAATGAAGACCTTCTGATGGTTGAGGACCAAAACAAAGAGGTGGTGGTGGAAAATGACAGCCCTGTGAGTTTTGAAAGGGTTACTATCAGGGAAATTGATGTTAGTAGCGGTGAGGCTAGTACTGCTCATCCTCTGATTAAGATTGACGTACCACAGCACCTCAAAGGTTTGTATGTAGATATTTCCCAGTAGATTCTCCTACTAAACCTCGAGAATTTTCTAGGTATTGTGGCTGATATGGAGTTGGAATCAGCTGTCCAGAAGCAACCAAAGACACCTAAACCTCAAGAGGACGTTTCAGCTTCAAAAGAGGAGGAAATCAGGAACATGCTTGCTTCCCTAGGTGTTTTTCCTTCACAAGTTTCAACTACCACCACTACTCAGATACCTGATATAAGCAATGTTGCTGATAACTTGAGCCCAGACATGCGAGAACTCCTTATGAGCTTCGGTTTGATCTCGGACCCTAAAGAAAAACTTGCTAGCGCTAGTCAAGTGCTGGATAGCTATAATCCTGTTGAACCAGAGATTGACCCTAAGGCATATGTAGGGTTCAAGCCGTTGCCAGAAGATGATAAGACAAGGGAAGATATGGGGGAGTTTTTAGCGAAGTTTGGATTGGGAAGGAGTGCTAGGAATGAGAAAGAAATGAAAAGAGGTGGGGATCAGCTCGATAAAGAAGACGAATTGAATTTTGAAATGGTGCCGGAAGAATACCAAGGAGTTTTGGAGGATATAGGGTTGTCCAATCGCAATGGTGAGTATATAAATGAGATAAACGATTTGATATTTTTGACCAGTGTTGTCATTACAGGAAAAATGATTCGATCTGAATCCCTAGCCAAAACCCAAGAAAAACACTCGTTTAATCCGTCAGATACACAATACGCTTCTGAAGAGGAGATCCAAAAACTTAACAAGCTGGTAGACATCGTCAAACAGCTCGAAAGCTTGAACCGCACAGTGACTGAAGCTGATCTCAAGAACATTGACATGGAGAACCTCAAAGAACTTGTGCAGAGTCTTCAAGTGGGGGATAAGGGTAGCCCTATAATTCCCTTGAACGAGCAACATGCCCCCGACCCTAACGAATATGACTACGGCTTGACGAAGAACGAGGTTAAACGGCAAGAAGACAAAGAAGGCAACACAACCGCCACGCCTACTTCTACCCCCTCCACAACAAAGGAGCCTGCTACGCCCACTTCTACCCCTTCCACGACAGAAGAACCAGCCACGCCCAGTATAAAAGACCTTGAGGACTCGTTCGGAGGGAATTCTGAGACTGCTTCGGAGACTACGGAGCCTGAGACTACGACTGTGAGGCGGAAGACAGGGTTCTACTATTTGGTGGATTGGAACTCGTTCTTGGATATCGATGATCAGAAGGGGAAGAGGGTGAATTTGAGGTTCCAGCCTACCATTGGGGACCCCAAGAGGTTTTATTCGGTATCGGTACCGTGATGTGGGGGTAGTGTGATATTGATGTTGCTCAAAATGCCATAATGATATTTTATTTATTCACCGAAAATTCACGAACCAAAGAAATACGAAATTTATTATTTTAAAATCAGATGAAAATATCGAATTATTTATTCTTAATGAATATGTTTCATGTAGGTAGTTGAATCATAAAAGTTAAGGTGAAATACATCGAGCATAATACCTAAATGTAACAACCTGAATTTCAATACGTAGGTAGTGTAGGTACTACAATTTTTCGAAATATTTTTCTGTGTTGAATATGGATTTTCAAATAAATTGTTTTCTGATACTCTGAGTACACATAGAGTGTGCCCCACTTACCATGCTCACCATGGGTATCTTTTTAACGGTGAGAGATACGAGGTCGGTTAAATGACACCAAATGTGGAGTTTGTCAAAGCCAACTATAATTTGAAAAAATATTTTGATAAAATCTATTCGTTTTTGTTTTATACGCAAAAAACAGATTTTGATCATTTTCATGTCTCCTCCGTAACTTCTTTATTTATGCAAATATTCAAATAGGAATTTCACATTCTCATGGCAGTTTTTCAAAAAATATGAAATTTATACCAACTCTTCTAGAATTTGAGATATCAGCACCAACTTTAGTTTTCCAAATGTAGGTCATAGCTCACTATGACTTAGTTACAAATAACTTTTTTTTTTCTCACAGATGATATGTCGCAGTAATAGTTTTGTGTTATTGATAACAACGGAGTTATCGTCATTTATACAAAAACAAAAAATTATTTGGGAGCCTCCATCTTGAATCTATGAATTTCAACGAAAAAATCATGATCTCCGACCTCAAAAACCCCCACTTACCGATTTTGAACCGAATCGGACCAAATCTTGTCCGCCATCTTGGAGCAGCCATTTCTTTAAATTTCAACAAAAATTCCATAGCTCCGATTACCTTGAAATTTGGCAGGTGTTCATGATTTCGGTGACAATACATTATGGAATTTTTGTTGAAATTAAAAAAATGGCTGCTCCAAGATGGCGGACAAGATTTGGTCCGATTCTATTCAAAATTGGTGAGTGGGGGTTTTTGAGGTCGGAGATCATGATTCTTTGTTAAAATTTATAAATTCAAGATGGTGGCTTCCAAATATTTTTTTGTTTTTGTATAAATGACGATAACTCCGTTGTTATCAACACGAAACTATTACTGCGACATATCATCTGTGAGAGAAAAAAAAGTTATTTGTAACTAAGCCATAGTGAGCTATGTCCTACATTTGAAAAACTAAAGTTGGTGCTGATATCTCAAATTCTAGAAGAGTTGATATAAATTTCATATTTTTTTCGAAATCACTTTGAAAAACTGCCATGAGAATATGGAATTCCTATTTCAATATTTTTATAAATAAAGAAGTTACGGAGGAGACATGAAAATGATCAAAATCTGTTTTTTGCGTATAAAACAAAAACGAATAGATTTAATCGAAATATTTTTTCACATTATAGTTGGCCTTGACAAACTCCACATTTGGTGTCATTTAACCGACCTCGTCTCTCTCACCATTAAAAAGATACCCATGGTGAGCATGGTAAAGTGGGACACACTGTATACATATTATAATAAGTAGACATCTTATCTCTGTAGTGGTAATCAGTTTGAAGAATTTTGTTATATCAAGGAACTTTAGTCGTAGTCGTCCTGTTGTTTTTTTGATGACTTGATATTATACAGGGTGATGCACGGTGGATGGCCTATTAGAAGTATCTGGAGAACGAAAAGATAGAACATTCTGAAAATTGGGATGCTTTGATAACTTAACATTCTCTATCAGTCTAAAATATTTTCATCGATACAGTGTTGCCACTTCTATCAGAAACAACTAGCAACTTTGTTATTTCAACTGGAATACCCTGTATTTTATTGTATTTTTAGATTCTTCCTGAAGAGCTGATTTCATCAATGTATCACACTTGGGGTCTAGCAGGAATGATTACAGAGATATAGGGTGTTCAAAATCGAGATTTTTCAATTTTAGGATTTTAATATCAATATCCCAAATTGATTACTAATTGATCATGTATACCTCTATCATTTGCGATGAATTATCATTCATTTCAAAAGTTTACGGAGGAAGAGAAAAAATAAAGATGCTTCTAATATTATATCAATATTAAATTGGATTTCCTTTCGTGCACCCCAAGAGATAAAAAAAACGTGAAAAGAGGTATATTTCAACAATTTCATTCTGCAGTTGAACATTCCACTTCACCAATATTGAATAATAAATAAATTAATAATACAGGGCGATTCTAGGCTAACCAGCAATATAGTTCAATGGTGGTAGAGAAAGTCGGAGTGAGTTCATATGAGAAAAAATATGTTTTGCCAATTCGTCATAAAAAACATGGTATTTTATGGATTCGGAACGAAACTATAAATCCTATGCATGGAGTTTTTGAGTAATACGATCCAGAAGGGAAAAATTCCAACTTTTTCGACAAGTCCCGTCCTGGTATATTCCGTGCACCTTGTGGTGTCTATCTTGAGGTTTGTTGTTGGTAAATTTCAGCCAATTACATCGAAGTCTTTCAGGAAACTTCGTTCATATGAGTTTTGCCCCGATTCAGGAAATTACCCTGTATATAACGAGTAGGTGAAACGAAATTGTTCAATGATCTCACTGTGTATATGTAATTCATGCCAATAAAGGTATAAAGTATCAAACGGTATTTTATCGACTTCCCTCGTATTTTCTACAAAAAAGTAGGAGTTTTTAGCAATTTTCATTCTACTTTTTCAATGTTATCAGCTACATCCATTTTTGTTAGTGTATTCTTTAATCCAACGATACATTGTTCGAAAGTTTTAGAACCGTTATTTTAGTTAATTTTTAAATAATGCAATACCAATAGCGCCATATTATCAAACAGAAGATGTTTCAGATTTGTAGTTTTTGCCTTTTAATCAGTTTTTGTTTTAATTTGTGCCAGTGCTTAGATGAAGCTTGGTATTCGTACCAAAAAACAACAAAATATGCCAATAGAGAAGGTGAGCTACAACGATATTTGTTAAACTCAAAATTTGATCAATTTGAATGTTTTTTTCAATTTCAGAACTCGTAGTAACAAACATAACAGCTGAAACTGTGTTTCCAATGCATAAGAATATCACAAAATGGAAAAGTTTGACTATAGGCCCTACTTGCTATTCTATAGGACTTTTAGATACAGGATTGCACATTTTAACCACTGTTTTAAACAAAAATAAAAATGGTTTCGACATAGATAGCAAAGAAATTGGTGAGAAAAAACGCGATGTTATTTCTGTATTGTTCAGGAATAGATGCTGAATAGTTTTTTTCACTTGCAGATTTGGAAAATAAACCTTCAGATATTATTTTACTCCATCATCGAGAAAACGGCGTATCAGAAATGCTTATTATTGTTTCGTTCTATAATAAACCTGGGTTGAAATGGATCAAAATGTCTCAAAATCATTTAGTGAGTCTTATCTTTCTAACATTTTGCTTCCATCTAAAAACTATTTTTTTCTGTGACGGGAAAATAGTTCATCTCTGTTGGCAGGTTATAAAATGTCACTTTTCATAAATTACTTTTTTCCCGTGGGAAAAAAGTGAGTACTTTTTTCCCGGATATATATCACATATATATATATACATGTTGATGGCTTTTGTTGTGCTATAGTTCCGAAAAATGAGTCAATAATACCGTCTCCGAGAAAGAACTGCTAGTCCTTTTATCTTCCATTCGACTTCGCGGTTACGTATATTACTATAAACAACCAATGGATTCGCAATTTTTGGAAATCAAATCACAGAATTGGACTGACAGAAGAGACATCAGATATTTGATTACTTCAAAAGAATGATAAAGATGCCTACAACGCAGGTGTCCCTATACTGTTGAAAAATTAAAAATTCACGTCGATAATTTTCAGACTTCAAAATAATGTAATATCTTCTCAATATTGATTCGTCCTTTCTTCTGTCACAGAAAAAAATAGTGCATTATACACGGGAAAAATATTAGATTTTAGCTCACAGTTTTTTGACAACACAACCTGGAGCTAAAATCTACTACTTTTTTCCCTTGTATAATAAATAACTATTTTTTATAGGATCTACATTTTTGGAATTGGCATTCGGAAGTCCCCGTTTGCCATATCAATACTTTCATACTTGAACAAAAACAAGTTTTGTTGCTGATTGAAAATGCAGAAGAAAATCCAGTAGCTTATCTCTATGGATTCGATCTGAAAACCAAACCTATGACTTACTGGTAATTTTTACTATTTTTACAAACATTTATTTTCTTATACATATTTGGCAGATTGATATTTTTTTTATTCGATCAAGCTTTCCGGAGCTCGAACAGGATTTTGTGATTGTAAACTAATTACATACAGTCTCATTTATAAAGTCCGTTACAATATGGAGAAAAGGTTTATACTTAGTTAGAGTAGGTATCAACGAAATTTTTCTGGGGGATATAATATATTATGCATGTCCGATAAACGGAAATTGATTTTGACACAAGTCATGTAACTACTGGTATGGTGGTAAATTAAAAAAAAATGACTATGAAGATGTAAAACGTGGGGTTAGATGGCAAGGTATCGGAGGAAGTTATTTGAAAAGGCGTTGCTCAGAATTCAATTTTATACTCGCATTTTTTGAAGTTTCATGCAATTATTGGGGAAAATTTAAAATGGCAATTTTTTTCGAGAACAACCTCCTTAGATCGTTAACCGAGCCCGACTTCCATTATCTGGTATTATACAGGGTGTTTCCTAATTGAATGTCAATATTTCATGAGGCGATTCTCGGGCTCATTTCAGGAAGAAAATTTGATATGAATGTATGACCAAAACGTCTCAACTTTTGGGATACAGGGTGGTAAAGCTCTCAAAAATAAAAAGTTTTTTATTAATATCTGTAATACCACCTCAGATATTCTGATGAAATTTGGCATACATGTACTTTGTATCAAGAGACAGCAGTTAGTGTACCATCGTTTTTTTTGTTGCCACCAGTGGCGTTCCGTGGAATTTCACATGCCTATTTTGACAGACATTGACGGTACGCCAGTGATGAAAAATGATTGAAATTATTCCGGAATTTCTCAATCATTTCTAAGCAAATTTGATCCCCACAATTTATTCAATCTGATGCACAGTTTTCGTACAAAAAATAAAAACCTTTTCACTGCATGATCATAACAATATCGTTGATAATATGACAATATCACAATGCAGAGAAATATAATATTTTATATATTTTATTTTTAGGTGGAAACCGTGATTCGGAATGAAACAATTCAGGAGAGCAAATCAATCATATGACATTTTTCTTTTCAAAATGGGCGCTATACCTAAATTAGGTCTTTTGAATGACTAAAATATTTGATTTGATTGATTTGATCAAATATTGACATCCAATTAGGTAACACCCTGTATATTCCAGTGATGTAGACAATTTATAAAACCACCAGAAAACCACAAGATTTCCTGTTTTTCCATGTTTTTCGCGAGGCGTTTTTAAAAATCTGAGTTAACAACACTGCATCACGTTTGCGCGCTTGACGTATACAGGGTGTATCTATATACACCACTGTATTTTCGCCCTGATTCGAGTTCAAAGTGGAATTCTCTCACTATTTCCCTATTGTAGGCATATGCAGTCCCTCAATTTATCAACTAGTGCAAATACGTCAGCCTTCAACAAATTTGAATCCGATGTTTACCTCTCCATACCTCAGCAATCACTTGATTCCGTCTACATCTACAAATACCTGGAACACCACTTCATCCTACACAAACGCATCGACAGCCCAAATCTAACCATGGTGACGTCATTCCGGATAGGTTTCAAGTCCTACTTGGCCATTGATGGGTTCAAGGCGGCAATTTTCGAGTTTTCAAAAAACGGACTGGTCGACAAGAAGATTACAAATAGCCATTTGGACGGTATCTATTTTTGGTTACCAGTGCCAGTCCAGAACTATAGGGATGAAGTCATTTTGTTTGCTCAAAGGATGCTAGATCATGGTAGTCATGTGACTTACGTCGTTGACGTCATCACAAATAATGGTGGTGAGTATGTTGAGGGGGAATTATTAAAAATATCGAAATCCAAACAAAATGTTTACTCAATTTTTCCACGTACGAAAATTTTACAGCCAAAAATGAAGTCACCTGGTTGTTAAACTTATTGTTGTATGTGAAATTGTAATACCCACTTCATCAAAACCGATAAAAATAAGACCTTGCATGCACAGTGTATGAAACTTTAAAATTTTCCACTCACTCACATTTCTCTATATTTTCTGGGAATTCATCTTCTGTGTAGCAAGTACGAATCAGCTGATTTATCCCAAAATCTCACTGCGTTTAAAAATTTCAAAACAAGTTGTCATTGACTATAGATTGAATTTCTCTTTTAGGTTTTCTAATAGTGACATTTTGGGGCAAATCATTTGATTAGTCATTATTAATACACATACACATATATCTAAATAATACTTATATCAATATCAATAGAAACAAGTGAGGTACGTAGTTTTTGAAAGGTATCAGATTAGTATTATAAAGGTCAGATAATTTATACGACGTTATAAAAGCAGATGATATCTTATCATTGCTCATATTAGATGGAAGTTGAGGCCATGGCACCATATCATGAGCATATTTTTATATTGAAACTATCATTGGGCACCAATGATGTGTATACGACGCTATGAAAGTTCAGAGAACTGGAGACTTTTCGTACAAACTACGTACTTAGCCCGTACCTAGTTTATTGGCAAAAATAAAGACAGTAGAGTGAGCTAGGTACGTAGTTTATGGGAAAAAAAATCAAGACAGTCGAGTGTGCTTTTTTTACTTCCTTTTGTTTTTTGTTTCGTTTTCTATTGGCAAGTGATTATCTAGGAACTTGTAAATTTTTTAGTTTTTTCATCGTATCTCCCGAACTATTGAATTCAGAGAAAAATGTTATAGGGATTTTTTGTAGATTCTATCAAAAGGAATAATTTTGGTTCCATAACATTTTCAGATATTTTCAGTTGTTTTCGAGATATTTGGAATTATCTGAGAATAAAATTTTCAACACTTTTGTTCCATCTTCCAATCAACAAAATGAAAAAATATTTCATGGTTCAGTGGAAGTCGATGAGCTTCATCTATCGATAATCTATGTTTTCCAATATATCTTCATAGTACCCTATGGGTCGTTAAAATTTTTTTTTTCATATTTTTCACTTTATTTCCTGTACTATTGGGTTTACAGAAAAAATTATGGAAAATGATTTGTAGGGAATGTTCCAGTGGATAACATTGCACTCCTGATAATTTTCGATTTTTCCATTTGTTTTCGATATATATTGAATTAAAAGGATTTCAAATTTTGATGTTTGGGTTTTCATTTGTTTTTCCAGTTTCCGATGGATGCACGAAAAAATGATTGAATGATAATTTGTTGCGTCATCAAAGAGGCATACGGTGCATTTCTCAAATTTGGATTTAGTCTATTTGTTCACGAGATATGTCGTTTTAAAGCGAACCGTGTTTTTCGGAAAATCTCCTTGAAAAACCCACTTGGAATTTTCCGACCCTGCTCAATTTCAATAGGCTTCGTCTCTTCCTGATAGAGGTTTTTTTCACAAAAAATGAAATCGATCGGACCACTTTTGCGATTTGTAGAGTGGTTACAAGGAACTTCCGGTGAAAAATCGAAAAAACCCGGAAAAACCACCTTAGAGTTTTCCGATTTCCTTCATATTTTAATGACATAATATTGTTTTGAGTACAATAAGATGGCAAAATTTCAAGTCGATATGTCAAAGGGTTCCGGAGATATATCGATTTATGATTAACACAGAGTACAGACAGACAGACGGACAGACCACACACAAAAACCAAAGTTGCTCAAAATTCGATGGGGATCATTTTCTCCAAAGCAACTATACCTCTATCTCGCTTAGTTTCCGAGATAGCATTTTTGGCACGGCCGTAGTATACTCCACTATGTATAGCGTCGTATAACAAGTAAAAAATCTGAAAAAAATTAGAGACATGAATATTCTACCTCCCTGAATAATCCACATACAGTATCTTTCAACTAACTCGACTTGTTGTATTCATTTTCTGATAGTGCTGTTTTTTTTAAGTGTATCTGCCAAAAATTCAAAGTTTTTCAGGAATGATTATAACTCAATGGCGACTCAAAATAGTTTTCGGGACCGTTCCAGCGATTGAAAATGTTGAGTATTTTTCTAAAAATCATATATCATTTCTAGATAATTTTGAAGAGCATGAAGACATACCTTGTACCTCATTTGAAGAAAAATCCCCTTGGTTAACCTGTTTAACTCACGAGAATGGCATCATCGGAGCCAGTTATATATCTGTTGGTGAAAAATTAGGGCTGATAGTACCGAGACCAGAAAACGGAACTTTCGTACTATACATGATACATAGTACTATCAAGCAGATGCCAAATCCGAAAATAAGTGAATTGAAAAAGTTGCAAGAACTGAGAGAAAAACTACAGGTGAAGTGATTTTTTACATGTGGCTTGGAATTATTTGGAAATTGAATTAAATCCTAGAAAAAAGAGTTAACAATTCATGATACTAAGGAATGAGAGAATATGTTTTTGTATATAGGAACTGATTGATGAGCAGAATGAAGAATACGAAGAGCTTCAGCGCCTCCAACCAAATTCAGCTCGAGATATAACAGATTCATCAGATTTTCAAGTTGAAGATAACATTTTAGCTGCATCACAACCAGAAGACATCGAGAAACAGAACAACAGCCTTCAAAACTTGGGTTTAAGAATTCAAGAAGCTCAGGAGAGAATCAGTGAAATCAAAAAAATCGAGAATCGAACTGAATTTGATACTATTACGGTATTAGGCGAAGTCAAATTTGAAGGCGATTTAGTCATACAACATGCAAACATCGAAAGAATTAATGGTGATATGGCTACTGAATTGCTGCAAGATATTGTCAGGTATCTATTGGAACACGTTGAAATTCAATAAATCTAGTATATTTCCTTGATTCGTTTTCAGGAAGAATAATATAAACAGAGTTCTGAGAAACAAGACCTTCTCAGATATGGAAGTCGATTCCATCGATTTTGAAACCATCAACGATATTAACGCTACCAACATCGTATACAAAGAACCTGAAATTATATTCAATGGTGACGTGATTTTTGAGAAGCCAGTTGTGCTATCTGCTCTCCATCTGACCACAGGAAAAGTAAACGATATAAATCTTGCTGAAGAAATAATCGACATCCAAAAAGCATACAATGGTTGTTTTTTCGCTCATTCATAGTAAATTGCATCTTCATTCATGATTTTCTAGGACACTTGGAGTTTGAGGAAATAAGGATAGCTGGAAAGCTAGAAGCCAAAAAAATAAATCACTTGGTTCTTCGTCTAAATAACACTAACGACATTCCACCTAGCGAGGATACCGATTCCATTTTCATACCCCAGAATGTAACCGTGAAATTCATCAATGGAGAAAGTTTCGAAGATTTCCTCAATAGCTTGTGCCTCGTCAATGTAAAATGCTATATTCCTGGGAATACTACAGTGATTGGAGTAAGTTTTATGTAAAAAATGAATGACCAATGTTAGGATTGGTATAGTGTCTGAATTTTTTTATGTGGTGCTAAAAGTGGATAATCATATTGACCATGTATAGATTTTTTTATGTTCTGGTTCCCACGAAAAGTTATATCCTGTAATGTTCAGAGAACATCGTGAGAACCAAGGGAAATAAGGTAGGAATTGGTGTTTTTCTTAAATTTCTGGAGGTTATATATGCCTCGGGGAACACCTCCCTTGGCAATGTGTTCCAGAGCCTCGCTGTTCGTTGGATGAACGACTCTTTGGAAAGAGATGTTCTGCAGGTCTCCAAAGTGACCACGAAGGGGTGCGAAGCCTCAACTCGACGGGTTAATCTCACGGGTACTGCCAAGGGAGGAACAATTGTTGATATTTCAGAAGAGCATCGTCCATGAAAATATCTATAAAATAGAGCCAGATCGCCAAATTTTCTACGTTGTTCCAGAAAAGTGAATGAGTTTGTGGGCAAGGCATCATCCACGAGACGAATTGCCCTTTTTTGGACAGAATCCAACAGTTTCAGGGTATGATTGGGTGCTGCACTCCAAATATGGGAACAGTATTCCAGGACAGGTCGGATCTGTGCCTTATAGATCATAAGCAGCTGACTGGAAGTGAAATAGCTCCTGGCCCGAAACAGGAAACCAAGTTTTTGTGATGCACTTTTAGCAATTGATCTCACGTGTTTTTCTCAAAGGAGGATAGGTAGAGGAGGTAGGTGTTGGAATTTGTTTTGAATTTTTGGAGGTTATAAGATCTTGGGTTTGGTAAAGTGTTGTTCGTCTGACTGGTATTGCTAGTGATGGAATTATAGCAGAGATTTCTGAGGAACATTTTCCGTGGAAGTATCTATAGAAAGATGAAAGATCGCCGAATTTTCTACGGTGTTCTAATGAGGTAGCATCACCCACCAGGCGAATGACTCTTCTATGGATGGAATCTAAGAGCATCAGCGTATGTTTGGGTGCTGAACCCCATACATGAGAGCAGTATTCTGAAACTGGCCGTGTCTGTGTTTTGTAGCTCATACGAAGCTGTTGAGGTCTCAAGTAGATTTTCTTACGGAACAAGTTTCCGAGTTTATGTGAAGCAGCTATGGATCGGACATGATATTCCCATGAGAGAGTATTGCTGATGGTAATACCGAGCATAGATATAGTGGTCTTGGTGGGAATGGTGATTGTTATATCAGGCATGCCTTCCTAGAGAAAATACAGGCTTGAGTTTTGGTAGAGTTAACTTCAACTAGACTTTGGTTCAGTTTTCAGGAAAGAGAAGAAGAATAAGATTCCGTTAAAATCCAAATTCAATACTTATAACATTATAAATTGAATATTAACTTCGTTGAAATGTTAATCTGAGCTCTGATATGTCCTGTTTTCCTGCTCTTCAAGTTTGTGAATTGATTTTATTACATAACAAAAAAGGGATAATGCCCATGAAATCAATTGATAAGTGGATAGATATATAAATAAATCAATGAAAGGTACTTCACATTCGTAATTTGAGTCTGATATTTTCCATCCAGAGGAGTGTTTTGAAAACAGTGATTTAACGAGAAATTATTTTTTTCGCATGACTACAAAAAGTCGTTATCTTGTTATGACATACAGCTTGGAAGAAAATGGAACTCGAATAGCGACTTTTGAGTTTTATAAGGTTAATTTAAGTAGATATGTAGAATACACACCGATACACAATTGTTTGGTGATGTATTCATCAGTCACCCTGTATATTATTATTTCATTATTTTTACAAATAGTATATTCGATTTTGGTCTTTGAAGATTCAATTCTACTCACTACACGATACAAACAAGAAACAAATTTTCGCATAATTTTCTTTATAAAATCTTCAAAGTGGACGTTATAATTTTCGATTACTTTTTTCTATTATTTTTTATCTCTGAAAATGAGGGAATTCTAGAATTCATATAGTTCATTTGGTTCCCTCTCACCAGATTCTTTTTGTATAAAAATCAAGTGAAAAAAGACCCTACTGAGTACTTTTTTTAAGGGTATTATTGCAGAAGAAGCTTATACGGACTTTCTCAACGGTCTCAAATTCCCTGATGAGTTCATCCTCAGGGACTCGATATCACATGCCAATATTACAGGCCGTAAAGATTTCAAACGATCTCTAACAGCCAAAGAAGTTAGAACTGCTGGTACCATAGATGGGATAGACACAGAACAGCTGGTTACGCTAACCACCAATCAGGAGATACCTGGTAAACTGATTTTCAAGGACATAGAGCTGAAAGAAGAACTAAATGTAAGCTCGGTATATTATAAAGAGATCATGTACTGTGATTCAATTTATTTATAGGTCACAGGGAAAATTTTGGGTGCACACATCGACAAGTTTATTCCGAATCCTACTTTGGAAGTTACTCACTTCATAAAAACCAATGTCAATTTCAAAAATATAGAGGTTGAAGGAAACATTATTCTTGAAGACCACTTCAATGGACAGAATTTCGAAGGTCTCTTGAATGATTTTGTCTATGCGGTGAGTATACTACCATGACTTGGTAAAATCTCGATGGTTATCGTTTATTTTCTAGGATGAAGAAAGTGCTAATATAACAGGTACTAAACACTTTTCCAAAGGCTTATCTGTTCAAGGAAATCTAGATATAGAATCCAACTCAATTAACAATGTTAACTTGAACTCTTTGGTGACCAAGGATACAGACCAAGATTTACACATGAGGCATTTGAATGGAGCTGTTACCATTAACGACCTCATAGTCCTTGGTACTTTCAACGGGAAAAATATAACGCAGTTGGACGAAAGTCTCGTGAAACTAACAGGAGAACAATTCATAGAATCAACCTTGATCTTCAATGATGACGTACACGTGGATAAATTGGAAATCGTTGGGAAATTGAATGACCTTGAAGCTAGCGAATATTTGTACACTTCTGGGGATGTTACAATCGACAACGATATTGTATTCGAGAATATCATAGTGGATAATATGTTGGTGAAAGGGGATCTGAATGGAAACATCTCCAACTTTGATTTGAGAGATATTCATGAGAGGTATTTGAGCTACACGAAAGATCAAAGCATTGACACTGATTTCCATGTAGAATCTGCAACAGTCGAGAATCTGAAAGCTGAAACCATTAACGGTATGAATTTTGCTGAATTGTTTGATGAAGATAGTTTCATAAGAAACGTTACACAGCTTTTGAACGATGGAACCATCAAAGTAAAAAGTAAGATGATTTTGTGGAATGTTTAAATACGTTGTTGAATTTTTGTAATTTCTTTGTTAGTTTTGAACGTCAACGGTTCGATACAAACTGATACAGTGAACAACAGAAAATTGAGTGATATTTTGCCGGGAGATATCTTGAGAAATTCAGCTGGTGAATTGAAGAAAAATTTAGTATTTGGGGTGAGTATGAAATGAAGACGAACAAGCTTCTACTGAACTTATCATTTGTTAGGGTGATGTTTATTTCACCGAGGTAGAAATCGAAAAACTGAGTTCGATCCCGTGGAACGATTTCGTTGAGCAAATAGTTTTCAAAAATGAAACAGATGTGGTCTTCAAGGGGACAAAGTTGTTCAACGAAGGGATCGTTGTTGAAAAGCTGATTGAAACTGAAAAAATCAACAATGTTCGTCTGGCTAATATCCTCTCGATAGAGGGAGAACAAATAATACGTGGGCCTATAACGATCAAGGGTGACGTATTTTTCGAGGATTTGAATGTTCTCGAAAACGTCGATGATGTTCCACTCGGAGATATCTTGAATTTTCTGATTTACCACAATGGGACTTACATCTATCAAGGTATTGAATACAAAATTGATGATTGGTAACAACAATATACCTCCCAACTTATCTTAAATTGTTTTAGGTGATATGGTTTTCGAAAGATTGGTCCATATAAAAAACCTTTCAATTCATGGTACAGTCAACGACGAAAAAATTGATGACTTCTTTGAAGATGTAGTTTTGACACAAGGCGATACAAGAATGACTGGAGAGATAATTTTCAAGAAACCTGTAAGGCAATGAACGATCGGAAGATACGATTTTGAAATTTTTATTCTAGAAAAAAATACTATATGATACACATAGTCATATCCACGACATTTAATGTGATTATCACATCAATTGAAATTGGTACATGTTTCTGACCTATACAGAGTGACCCATTTGAAAGAGGGCCACACTCATAATTTTTTTATAGAGCGATTTTCACGATTTTTTTTTTCAAAGTAGAGAGAGGAAAGGTGTATTTTGGAGCTCAGCGGAGTCCACTTTTATTAAAAACCAAGGCCAACTAGATCACATTCAGAGGCTGAAAAATCCAGAATCCATATTAGAGATTTAAAAAAAACGCGTTAGCCACAGGAATCGGCGTCCTCTGAAATAGATCTGTTCCAAGTTTCATTTAAATATAATTATTCAACATTAACGATTCTACAGCCCGTTTCATTTCAAATGGCTCCCCTCTATACAGGGTGTCCGGAAATTATGCGCGAAAAATCTAGGTGGTGGGTCCAGAAAAGCATAGTTTTCATTATACAGTGTGTTAAACTTTTTAGAAAAAATCGTTTTTTCATGAATATCTAGCAAATATTCTTCCACCGATTCTCTTGAAATTTGGCAATGATATTCTTTGTTATGAAGGAATAGGAATTGTGAAATCCAGTGGCGTCCTGGGGGCACCCTACCGAATATTATTGTCGTTAAAATGTGCGCCACTGATTTTTCAAAATTCTATATCACCATATCCTAATGATTAACTAGAAATACAACATTTAGGTCTCTTGAATTGTTTTGCTATTTTTCTGCGTTTCCGTGGAAAAAATAAATACCAATTCATTATATAAATTGTGCAAAACATTGCTTCAAAAACAGGGGTGAAATTAAATGTGTGATCCATGTCCACAGACGTAGAATAAGAATGAAGATTCATTTTCTTCAAATATTTTATAATACATGTTTGGCACACTTTGTATTATCGAAAACTACGCCATCCTGGACCGAGAATACATAGTTCTCAATATACAGAGTGGAGAGCATGTCAAATATGTTGAATAATGTTAAACTCACCGTTTCCGAGTAAATAATTATTACGTTCGCAAACATGCTTTCCCGATGTACCGGTTTTTTTGAAACCCTTCATAGAAATCATGTAAAAATCCACATATGGCGGTTTAAAACCATGAAGAACAATATTATGAGGTCAGTTTTCCTTTAAAAAAATTAAAATATAATTTCATAAAAACTTGACCGATTTTTATTATGATAAAAACGCTCGGCACTGTCCAAGATAATGTTCGTCTTTGAAGAACTGATCATATCGATATTTATTCATACTGGTCCAAATTTGGTATTCGAATCGCACGACTAATAGATGAGATATCAAGGAGGGGGGGGGCGTTTGAAATGAAACACGCTGTAAAATTGTTAATGTTGAATATTTTTTCATGATATTTGGTGCAGATCCATTTCAGAGAACGCAGATTCCATTTTTTCGAAAAAAATTCTGGACTTTTCAGCATCTGAATGAGATATTGTAGGCCTTAGTTTATAAACGAAGTGGACGCCATTCAGCTCCAGAATGCACCTTTCCTTCTTCTAAATTCCCAAAAAAATTGTGAAAATCGCTCCATAAATAAAAAATAATGAGAGTGGCTTGCTTCCAAATGGGTCACTCTGTATATGTTAATCACATTAGATGTCGTGGAGATGACTTTGTGTATCATTTAGTATCTAATACTTGATTCCACTTCGAGAAACCATGGACTTTTACCAAAGATTTTTTTAAGGTTAATATAACTGGAAACTTAGTAGTAAAATCTTTGAATGGTTTGAATATTACGGATATTGGTTCTAAAATTGTTCTCACAACGGATGATGCTGAAATAAGCGGTCCTGTGGCATTTTCAAAACCGATTGTGATGAAGCAGAATATGAAAATCCGGAAGGATTTGAGCACCAACTATCTACGAGGTTTTTCTACAGACGTTTGGTTGGATAGGGCTGTTTTTCTAGATAGAGGATTTTTGAAAGGTGAGAGGTGCTGAAATATTAAACGAATCAGTATGTAATCACGTGAGATGAAGAATAACGTTCACATTTTATGTTCCGCCAATATTGGTATGAAAATATTCTACCAATATTTTCAAGATACGAACATAGCAACATAATAATTTTCAATTTTCCTCCAATATTGTCAAATGGTCACTTTTCCTTTCTCGCCGATATTGATTTCACATTTCATTACCAATATAACTAACTCTACGAATATTCAACAAATATTGGTGTGAAGATATTTCACCAATGTTTTCAAGACGACATTGCAACATGCTGATTTTCAATGTTCCACCACACTTTGAAACTAATATTGCAATTGCACCAATATCGCCGAATGTTCATATTGTGTTTCTCGCTAATATTACGTTTCCAATATTTTGCCGATATCTTCGCAATATTGCACCGATATTGTCCCAATATATGTGTGCTACTTGGGATGCTCTGTACCAAAACTCGTTTGTTTGTAAAATGGCAAAAGATCGACATTTTCAGTTCAAAAAAATTTCAGTACCTACGATCTCTATCTTTCCTTAGCTACAACGATGTTCCACGAAAATAATAGGGTTTCTTTTTGGTGCGCTCCATAAGAATGATACAAAATCTGACATGAACGAAGAAGAATGATACTTAATTCAATCATGCATTTCAATATTGCAAAAACTCAAAAATTTTGTATAAGATATATGCACTTGAAACATTTTTACACAATTCTGTCTATACAACCAAAATTTATTCAGTGGAAATGGAAAGGAAAAAAATAGATTTTTCAACAATGACATAGCCAACCATCATTTCCTGTTGAAAAAATGCAACTTTAGGCCTTTACTCGAAATTTCACCTTTCTTCATATACAGACAGTGCCTCAAGTAGTGTACCTACCTTCGTATGCCATCTGTCACGTGTCATCTGTCACTTCCGGCGACAGCCATCTTGTGACGTCACTTCCGGTGGCGGCCATCTTGTGACGTCACTTCCGGTGGCGGTCATTTTGTGTTGAGACGAAGGTAGGTACACTACTGAAAACGAAAGACAATAGCAGATTTTAGTTCTGCCAGTGCATTTATCTCAAAAAAGAGATCGAGAATGTGACTCGCATTTTTCGTACCTCTCATTTTTATAAAATATCCCTACATAAGCATTCCTGTACACAATTTGTTTTTAGGCCATTACACTTTTGAGGATGTAACTATCAATGACGATCTAGTGGCGAATTTCATCAACGATATGAATATGAGCAGAATTATACCATTAAGATCGAATCAAACCATAGATTACTTGGAATTCGGAGAAGTCACATCAGTCCATGACATCAACGTAGGAAATTTCGTGAACGGTTTCAAATTACCTGAAGAATTTGAAAATACAATTATGGTAATATGGTGCTTGTTTTCTCCTGAAAAAAAAGGTGAATATTGTGTTTTCAGGCTGATCTTGACCAAGAAATATTCGGTAACATAATTCTGAAAAACAACATCGTGATTCGTGGTAACCTAACCACTGCCACCATCAACAGCAAAAATGCATCAAAAATCGTTACTACCCACACCGATCAAAACCTCACAGCTTCCTACAACTTCAACGCGAAATGTACATTGGACTCAGGTCTGGAGGTCCTGGGGTCCATTAGCGGAATCAATATGACAGCTTGGGCGAATGAAAGCTTGAAAATTGTATCCAACAAGCCGCAGAATGTCGACAAGGACTGGCACATTTCAGAAAACTTGACTTTCACCGATGATGTTTTCAGCGATAGCTTGATAAATGGGTTGAATTTGAGTTTAATTTCCGAGGAAGTTAACCTGAGAAGAAATTATAAGTACACTTATGAGAGTGCTGTCATTGTGAGTGTTTGTTCACATCAATTATAGTACAGGGTATCCCAATTTGGGCACTTTTGCGGGGTATCTCCCTTATCAGTAAAGATAGAGCATTGCGGTTTTCGCGACAGTGTGCTACTTTTTTATGAAATTAATAATAGCGCAAGCAGAATTGTGATAGCTCTTCCGGTTGTCGAGATACAGGGTGGAATTGAAAAATATCACTTTTCAGGCACCCTCCGTGTCTCAGTTATCTTTGAACTTATCGAAGAAGTTAAAACTTGTTTGTATAGAGTTTTTCTCGTAGAATCCAGTGGCGTAGTTATTTTTTTGCTAGCACCTTTTGTTTTTTAGTTATGGAGCAAACATATGTTTTTTTAAATGGAACACCCTGTATATTATTTCATATATACAGGGTGTCCCAAATTGCTTGATTTTGGCAGTTTTCCCTATTTCCAGACCAGGTAGAGAAAAACTGACCTAGGGTTCTAGAGCTTGATTTTCGTGAAACGCCGATTGGTGAAAACCGCATTTCGATATCTCAAACCGTTTCCGAGATATGAGCAGAAATTGACATTTGACTGATTTAGAAAACTTGACATAACTTTTTTATTTTTGGATATTTTTCCAAACGGTGAAAACTTTCTATAGACACTTTATGATGTAGGATGAGATGCATATGTCAAAAAAAATATATCGCTTATCAATTTTCTGATATCATAGCCAACTTCGTTATTTCAAATAGAAACCATAGTTGGCTTTAACTTCATAAAATCGGAAAAAAAATAAGCTTTTCAAAAATATATATGTTGATATATTTCTAGTCATCCTTGCTGTTGATATAACGTATTTCTCTTTGAAAATCACAATTTGGCGACATCTCAACTTAGTGAGCCATGGAAAGCAAGAGTTGTTTTGCTTATCTGTCAGTTCGACAATAAATGAAATATCTAAAAGCTGTCACCTGCTTGCATCAAAATGTTTGAAAACTTTGAAAAATGCCAGATGTTTGTTTGCTTTATTGAATCAGGCCGAAATAATGAAGCTGCAAGAAATTTATATTTCGAACGATACCCTGAACGCCAGCAGCCTAGCGCCCAAATATTTGATAGATTGGAAACTAGCCTGATGCATCATGGATCATTCGTCAAGCCCAGATCTAGACAGTATGCCGTTGAAGGTAGAGACGAAGTAGAGGCAGGAGTAATTGGAGCGGTTTTAGAGAATCCTGAAGTTTCCACCAGAGAAATAGAAGTAACTAGGGGTGTGAGCAGAAGCCGAACCCAAAGGATTCTCAAGAAACATAAATTCAAACCTTATAAAGTCAGGCTCACACATCAATTATTTGCCGGTGATCAAGAACGCAGAATCAACTTCTGCAACTGGTTTATAAGGAGTTGCAATGAAAGTGAAAATTTCCTACGAAATGTTATTTGGACCGATGAAGCAAGAGTAACCAGCAGTGGAATATTCAATCGGCATAATCGGCATCATTGGTCGGACCATAATGAGCATGTTTTCCAACCTAGAAACATGCAAGGACGATTTGGTTTCAACATTTGGATTGGAATAGTGGGGCAACGAATGATTGGTCCTTTTATTTATGATGAAAACCTTAACGCCCAAAGATACGTTAATATTTTAGAAAATTTTGTAGAACCATATTTAGAAGACTTGCCTCTTGCCGATTCGATAAGAAAGTTTTATCAACAAGATGGCGCACCGGCCCATAACGCGGCGGTAACAATTAACAAACTGAATCAAATGTTCGGGAATCAGTGGATGGGAACACGGGGCCCCGTACCATGGCCTGCAAGATCCCCGGACCTAAGTCCTTTGGACTTCTTTATCTGGGGTTTCGTCAAAGACCAAATATTCAAAACCATACCAGGAACGCGTCAAGAATTAGAGCAAAGAGTGAGGAATGCCATCACTCGAATAACACCGTTACAACTCCTAAACGCCGAGAAATCAGTGAAGAAGAGATGCCATCTATGTCTTGACCGAAATGGTGGACAATTCGAACACTATTTGTGATAAGCTCAATAAACCGTTGGAGATTTATTGTTACCTACTGAATTAAATATTTTGTTAAACGATTCAATATTGAATACTGTCTGTAGGTTAATCGAGGAGGTGGTACATTCATTTTACTTGGTTCTTTGGGATTTTCTCTCCTCGTTTCTACAAAATAAAAGTATTCGTATTATTTCAATATATTTGTAGAGGGACAAATCAGATGATTTGCCCCAAAATGTCACTGCGTTTAACAAATTTTTCTATCAGGGAGTCTAAAAGAAAAATCCAGTAGCTTGTCAGTGACAATTTGTTTGAAAAAATTTTTGAAGGAAAGAAATATAGATATATTGAAAAAATATCGAATTTGTACTTATCTTTGGACGTTTCGGGACCGATTCTGCTCCCGTTCTCAACATGTAAATGCAAATTATTTTTCTTTGAAATTTTTGCTGCGTATAGTTTGACACTTTTCAGTTGATATTGATAGAACATGGTATTCACTACTGAAAACTGAACATGAAAATGGTAGATTGAAGATCAATTAATGAAAACATCCTGTAACTCATTTGTAGACTAAAATCACTCATTCATATGCCAACATCAGTATGACATTGAAAAGTGTCAAACTATACGCAGCAAAAATTTCAAAGAAAAATAATTTGCATTTACATGTTGAGAACGGGAGCAGAATCGGTCCCGAAACGTCCAAAGATAAGTACAAATTCGATATTTTTTCAATATATCTATATTTCTTTCCTTCAAAAATTTTTTCAAACAAATTGTCACTGACAAGCTACTGGATTTTTCTTTTAGACACCCTGATAGAAAAATTTGTTAAACGCAGTGACATTTTGGGGCAAATCATCTGATTTGTCCCTCTACAAATATATTGAAATAATACGAATACTTTTATTTTATAGAAACGAGGAGAGAAAATCCCAAAGAACCAAGTAAAATGATTCAATATTGCTACTTTTTTATTCAATTACTTGTTTTTTATCACTTCATTATCATATAATTATTGATTTGACAAAAAACTCTTGCTTTCCATGGCTTACTAAGTTGAGATGTCACCAAATTGTGATTTTCAAAGATAAATACGTTATATCAACAGCAAGGATGACTAGAAATATATTAACATATATATTTTTGGAAAGCTTATTTTTTTTCCGATTTTATGGAGTCAAAGCCAACTATGGTTTCTATTTGAAATAACGAAGTTGGCTATGATATCAGACAATTGATAAGCGATATTTTTTTTTTGACATATGCATCTTATTCTACATCATAAAGTGTCTATAGAAAGTTTTCACCGTTTGGAAAAATATCCAAAAATAAAGAAGTTATGTCAATTTTTCGAAAACAGTCAAATGGCAATTTTTGCCAATATCTTGGAAACGGTTGGATATCCAAATGAGGTTCTCCCTAATCGACGTTTCACAAAAATCGAGCTCTAGAACCCTAGGTCAGTTTTCCTCTACCTGGTCTGGAAATAGGGAAAACTGCCAAAATCAAGCAATTTGGGACACCCTGTACATAGAGCATGAAGTGGGCTTTCCAAAAATATATAATTGTATACAATTATTTTCCATTTAAAAAAACATATGTTTGCTCCATAACTAAACAACAAAAGGTGCTAGCAAAAAAATAACTACGCCACTGGATTCTACGAGAAAAACTCTATAAAAACAAGTTTTAACTTCTTCGATAAGTTCAGAGATAACTGAGACACGGAGGGTGCCTGAAAAGTGATATTTTTCAATTCCACCCTGTATCTCGACAACCGGAAGAGCTATCACAATTCTGCTTGCGCCATTATTAATTTCATAAAAAAGTAGCATACTGTCGCGAAAACCGCAATGCTCTATCTTTACTGATAAGGGAGATACCCCGCAAAAGTGCCCAAATTGGGATACCCTGTACAGTAGAAAAATTGATTAACATTTTTAATTCCACTTTCAGGATGACTACAATAATCTTTGTACAGACGTCACTTATTTGTACGAAAAAGCCAAAACCCAAATCTACAAATTCAAATATTTCGAAGATCTTCAGGAGCTGTCTTTCGCCAAGGACCTCAAATACGTCTTTTATTTTGCACACGAAAACAGTTCCTATTTATTAGTTAATGAAGATTGTTTATCTCATTTACTCGAATTTAACGGCACAAAATTCAATAAAATATCAAAGGGACAGCCCACTGGACTCATTGAACAAGTTGTAGCAGTTTGGGACGATAATGATTTATACTTAGTCATAAGAGGGCCCAGTGAAGAACAAAAATGTACGAAAAAAACCAAAAGTTTAACTGGGACTGTAATGTGGAAATTCGAAAACACCAGTTTACAGGTAAAATAGAAAAAAGTATGTGAACATTTTGAACTTCTCAAATGAGTAGTATACGTAAGGGAGTTCTAGCTCAAAATGACAGCTGTATGATGGCATGCCATCGACTATGATGAATAAAACATCAAAATGCCTTAAAAAACGTGTAATGCTAACAAAAAGCATAAGAAAACTGTGAAGACAAACACCGTGGGACCTTGGGAAGCGTGAAGAACATTCAACATGCTTTTCACGCTTCTCCATTCTTCATCATATGTTTCCATGTTCTCTCACATTTTTCCACATTTGCTCACATCTTCTTACATCAATAAAGTTGCAAGCGTATGCTACCGGACATAAACCGTCATCTTGGCTTTGAATCGGCTATAAGTACACTACTTGAATGAAAAATTAACTGGTAAAATCTCAAAAACGCAAAATAAGCCTGTATTTCAATATTGAAACACAGTTTTCAGCATTCTCCGGTGAGGACGCTAGGAATCGGTGTCGAAATGTTGGAAAACATGGGATCGCGCGCCCCCACTTTTCCCCCTCTAAAAATTTTTTTTCCTGAAACAAGAAATACTGGACTCTTCACAAAGGATGAACGTATGTTTTTCTGGAGGCAGATTTCGATTTTTGTCTTACTTTAAAAAAAATCTGAATATACTCGAAAAATGCAATGTTAATGATTTTTTTGCAGAATATCGGTGAATTTTTTCAAAATTCGACTTTCACAGAAACCCAGATACTTCAATTCTGCATCTCCCTATATTTTTTGTTTTCCGAAAAAATCAATATTGAACAATGAGAAGTGGGGGCAAAGGAATCATGTTTTCATTGAAGTGGTGCATGGTGTATCCTCTTCTTTTAGGTAATTTCATAATTATCAAAAACTGATACCTACCCTCATGCAGCAATATTGGTTAATGAAAAAAAACATCATAATTAGATATAGGTAATCGCAAACATCTAAATACGAATAAAACATTTTCTCATTTAGCATCTCAATTTTTGTAAATTTCTATTGGACAATTATTCGAAAATGGTTTCAGTTCGTTAACACTTTGGAAAACCAAGAACTCTTACAAGAATCCTTAGTACCAGGTACTTTCTATGGCATAAGCAAGGAAGAAGTTATTGAGTTCAAAATACTGAAGAATTTCAGTGCTAGGAAATACAGGAAATGGATAATTCAAGAAGGTGAAGGAGCACTAGATCCTAATTTTTGTGGTATTCATCACATTCTTACGTTTTTAGATAATGCTGCTTTCATGCCTAGAGGATTGAAAACTGGACTATCTTTAAGAACTGGAGAGAAGATCGTGTATTTAGACAGAACAGAACCTGTGATTGAGAATGATATGAACGATATTGATGTGGAATCCATCATAAGAGGTGAAAAAAATTCTTTACTTGATTACTCAACACCTTTCTCAGAATTCACTAGCGGGTCGAGGTTGTTCAAACAAGTTTTCTTCAGGAACCGTGGACAAAGCAAATAACCATTTCATACCAGGAAGAAATGGTGGTGATATAGCTGTTTTGAATGTGGGCATGAAGAACACCAGGAAAAGTCTTTTGGCTGTTGCAACTCATGAGGAAACTATCATCAAAGGCCGTTTAGACTTAATTAAGGTAAAATCCATTTTTTGTCTTAGCAATATCACAAAAGAGAGATCACATCGTTCTGACACATAATATGCAACAACACAAATTTCTAGGAGAAACTATGACGATCATCACAATGAGAAAATGTAGAGAGATTTTTTTTATCCTTTCTATATATATATATATTTTTTTATCTTAGAACACGACGAAAAATCGTCAGCGGTATACTGACGTCACAAGTACTATAACGCACCGACCGTCTCTTGTTAGTCGAGTAAAAGAGAGACAAACAGTGTTACCGTCTCATCCAATTTTCTATCTTGTTTGGATATTTTAACATTCATCGCTCCCAAGAATTAGCTGAATTCAACAATGTGCAAGACAGTTCAAAACTCAATTGTTCTTGATTTTATATCAACAATATTATCGAGGGAACTGTAAAGTAACTAGGAAGATACGTGTTTCGGGCTCTCGGCCTTCATCAGTACGGTGAAAGGAAGTGCAAAGAATAGGCAGCACTTGGTAGAGCACGAAACAACAAATAAACGTAGTGAACAAACAGAAATCAGCCGCTTTGTGATTTTGGTCAGCTGCCTATCCTTTGCCTTTGTGAGAGCTATGTCCAATAATATCTTCCTAGTTACTTTACAGTTCCCTCGATCATATTTGCATATTATTTTTTGTATTCCTGGACCCGGATGTCACGCAGGTAGCTATAGCTGCCTCCGTGGTGACGTTAGCTGTTTCTCTGAGACCTCAGGGTGCTGACCGAAATCACAAATGCGCGGCTGGCTTCTGTTTGTTGACTCCGTTCATTTGTTGTTTCGTTCTCTACCAAGTGCTGTGTTTTGTTGTTGCCTAGTCCATATTTATGTTGTCAACATTTCTCCCTCGTTCGTTTTTGATTCGCCTGGCTGGTATTGGAGCCCTGGAAGAGAAGGCGGTATGGAGGGTACTATATCATCCACGAAGCTGTGTACTGGACATGAAGTTGCTTCCAACAAATCGTTGATATGGGATATGGAGTAGAAATAGGGTTCCAACGATCCAAAATATCACAAAATACAATGTTTGCCCTCCAACGACCTGTCAATTGACTTAATTCTGGAATGAATAATTGTCCGGTATTCAAATGGTGTTTTTGTGTATCATATCATATCATATCAAAAAATGTATGCATTTATGTTATATTACTACTACGTTTTGAGTTATATTTCGTATAAATGCTTTCTTGACATTTTTGTGACGGTTTTTCAACACTTGCCGACGTTTCTATGCATACGTGAAACTGTTGCATGTTTTGGTAAGCAGGGATCAATAGTTTATTGGGTTCGTTTTGACTTCGTAGAGGACCTTCAATTTCTGGTATAGGTCTATCAATTTTGAGATTACTGTATATTTCAGATCTACGAAGATGTAAGGCATGGAGAACTTTTTGATAAAGTGCCGACGTACAAGCCATCATCACTTCTATCAATAGAATTCGACCAAGGAGAAACTTTGCTGGCATTCATTGAGAATAAAAGAACGCTGAGAATTTTCGAATACAAAGGTATGCTTTGAGTAGAGTTCCTAAATGTACGTAACACTGGCTGTTTTGAAGTTTTAAGGACTAAGTTGAAATTTAAAATGAATAATTATTGAAAATCATTTCGCCAACTATATTTCCTCAAAATTCCTCACAAAAACATGTATCATTATTGTACTGATGATTCTAGAAAATCTATGGAAATTTTGAAATTAATCAACAAAAATAATAAAACTTTCATGCCCAATTTTCGTTGGGAAAATTTATCAAAAATAATAAAGACAAAACTTTTGAAATCGAAAAATCAGGGGTATACAAACTCAACTGTGGATCTTGTCCTAAGGTATATATCGGTCAAACAGGTCGTACGTTTAATCAGCGCATTCATGTGATAGGAATTTTTTGAAAAAGAAAACAAATTATACATATGCCAACCATATATTAAAAGGAAACCATAGTTTTGATGATAATTTCGAAATTCTACACGAAGAAAATAAAGGAGTAAAACTCGATCATTTTGAATCATTAGAAATCAACAAACTAAAAAATTCGAATATTTTACTTAACGATCACTTAGATCTCAATATAGTTGACCACTGTTGAATTTGTTTTTTTAGTAGGTAATAAAATATGTATTCGCTATCAACCCTTTCATGTTAATCCGTTACACCATATTTAAATGTAGATATTGTGCCTATTTTCCGAAAATGAAGGATTATCGAACATTTCCACAGGTAATTCTAATACTTCAGGTTGGGAAAGTAGGATATACAGGGTGATTCATTAAGAATGGGAAATCTCTGAACTACAAAATAAGTGGAAAATCTGAAAGCTCGTTCAATTTCTTATGAAAAATGTACAATTTATCAAATTGTCTAACTTCAACGGTATTTGTGTTATTCGCTCTTGAAGAGATTAATTTTTAACATGACATTTTAATAATTTTATTTATTAAAGCAAGAATGGGAAATCTCTGAACTACAGATAGTAAACACCCAAATATGAAGATTCAGCCCAACATGCCTTATAAAAATATTGCTGGGACTCAGAGGCACTGTGAGAAATATTTTGAATTCATATCTTGAAAATAGGAAAATCAATACAAAATCAAACAACTCTGTGTCAAATAAACTATTAATCAATAAGGGTGTCCCACAAGGCTCTGTTTTAGGACCTATACTATATTTACTTTATGTTCAAAATATCAGTGAAATTGGTCTAGCGTGTGAATATACCATGTATGCAGATGATACAGTACTTTTATATGAAGGCAAGAATCCTTCAGATTTAGAAAATATGATAAATTAAGACTTGAAAATATTTGAAAAATGGCTCCAATCTAACCTTTTATCGATAAATACTAACAAAACAGAATATATGATTTTTCACCAAAAAAATAAACAAGAAATTTACCTCAACCTTAAAATAAAAAATGAACTCTTGAAACAAAATGACCAGATAAAATATCTTGGTATTTGGTTTCATGACAGGTTGATGTGGGACAAACATATTGATGTTCTGACAAAAAAAATATCTCCAATTATTGGTGCATTGAGAAGATGTCCCAAACTTGATATTAAAATTGCAAACATGATTTTCTACTCTCATATACTGAGTCGTATCAACTATTTAATTAATGTTTGGGGATCTTGTTCAAAATATAATTTCAATAAAATATCAACAATATATAGAAAATCGTTAAAAGTACTGTATCGTCTCCCATTTGATACACCAACCAATCAATTGTATGACATAACAAATACTCATTCTTTAGATGAAATATATAGAATTGAAACTCTTAAAATATCATATAATATCATGAATAAAAAATTGGAGTCGAATATCATTTTGATACGGAATTCTGAAATTCATAATCATGAAACTAGACAATATAACTTGTTCCATCTTGACACTACCTGATAATATAAAAAATAAAAATATATAATTATGTACTTCCTTATACCAGAGCCTATTCTGTCTGGAAGTTATTTGTTCAATAAATAAATAAATAAATAAATAAATAAATAAATAAATATTAAACCAGTGATATTTTCATGAGGCATGTTGGGCTAAATCTTCATGTTTGGGTGATTACTATCTGTAGTTCAGAGATTTCAAGTTAGGCAAGCCAAGGTTAGTTTATTTCATTGTACCAGTATTTCAACGGATGAAGCTACTGTGTCAGCGAAACAAGTCGTGTGATCAAAAATTTTGTGGAAATCACATCCATTGTAAAGTTTTCACACCAATATGCAATGATTCCTCTTTTATGATGCCAGTTTCACTCTGCCCAGTTTTACGTGTAGGCTATTCAATGATAGTGACCTACAGTATGATCATGGTCTAGAAAGTAGAAATCCTACCTTCGACCATAGTCACTAGATGGCAATAACGACAACATTTTCATGTAAATTCCGGCTTCAAAAATCGAATCAATATTGTTTTGTTCTAGGAATTGAGGGATTCAAACATAGAACTTCGGTTAAATTACCTGGATCTCAAATTTTTCAGATGACTTTACCAATAAGATCGTACTTGAACCCTAGAAAAGTTATAGGAATCATCAACAAAAATAAAATAAGATTAATTCAAGCAGTGATGGATGGCAATAAGATTAGAGATGATATGAAATGTGAATTATAATAATTGTTGTGATATTTTTGATTAATTATTTTATATTTATTGTGAATTATGTGATGTTGATGATACAATGTTATACTATAAGCGTCATGAGTTTTATTTAGAATTTGGTCCTATAAAAATTAAAAATATCTTCATCAATTTCTGGTTCACCTGTTAATGTAACAGTTTTCATAAATTCTTTGAACTCCTTTGAATCTGTGTCAATGAAAAATTGCTCAAGGCTGTCCTTAATTTCATTTTCAACACAGGGTGTTTCAATGTCAATTGCCATTCCTGTATTTTTCGCTTCAATATTTCTTCTGTCGACTTCAGGCAACGTCTGACATATCACACTCAAATTATCTCCAATATTCATTTCCGGTTGCTTTCCACAGCACACTTCTTTCTCTGTTGCAGATAAAAGGTGCTTTGAAGTTTCTTCATCACAATAATTCGAAATAGTGTTTTCGCAAGTCGTATTTTTTAGTGGTTCAAGGTTAGAACATTCACAATGATCATGAGAAATGATTCCCATGCAGTTTGTATCTTGATAACCAGCCAAATTCTCGAAATTATTGGGTTGTAACTCTTGACAACACTGTGAAGATGAAAAAAATGAGTTTCTTTCAGGTTCGGGCAGCATATGATATGGAAAGTTACAACTTTCCTCCTCATGATATTGGTTCCTGCATGAATACGTTCCAGCTATATTTTCATTTGGGTATTCACAACATATAGGATGAATATAAGTTTGCCTGGAACATACAGGGCGATCAGGACATTGGTTCTGGTACACTGGTAAACTGAAATTTGATGAAAGAAATTGATCGTTTCTAGATATACTTTGAGAGGTGTTATTGATGGAATGTAAATTATGCTTAATTGAAGATTGGGGATTATTTTGTTTCATCCATTCGTTGAAAAAGTGCTTGACTTTGAATTCCTCTTGTTTTAAACCTGATTGTAAATGGTGAGTTTCGTTTTCAATTTCCTTCAATTCAACCAAGGCTTTCTTATAAATTTCTTGTTGTTCATGCAATTCTTGAATCAAAAGTGATTTCTCAGAATAGCAAGGACTAGTTTCCAGTTGGAGCTTAATGTAAGAGATATTTTTCTGACATTGCTTGATAGCTTGGGCATAGATTCTTGCCATTTCAAGCTTCTTTTCGAGTGTTGTTTGGTAAAAACTGAGAGTTTCTGAATTTTTTGGGTACGAGAGGAATACTTTGAAAAGATCTCCTCTTTCTTCAATGCGATTTGTAGTGGATATAGGTGCATGTCCATTTAGCATAGTTTGATATAGACGGTGAAACCCAGTATACTCGTTCGGATTTATTTCCTTTCGGGAAATCTTGTCCAGGGAGTTTTTCAATTGTTCTGAAGAGGTTGTTTAGGAAAATATCTCGCAAATTGCGAAAAAATATTCGAAATCAGAAGGATACTGATGTCTTCATCTCTCTTCAGAATATTATTCTTCAAATGTTCAATTTCGGTATTACTATAATCCAGCTTAATTTTCAGTTCTTCGTACTTATCCTTTTGCGTGTTAACTTCGTTTTTCAATAGACCGAAACAAAATTGTACTTGTGTCAAATCAGGTTCTAGTATATTCAGTTCTTGGTTTGTTGAAGCATTTTTCAGGTATTGCTTGACTTCATATTGACATTGACTTTTTTGAGCATCCGTCAATGTAGAAGAGTTCTGGAAAAGAAAAATGGTGGTTTTATGTCTGAAGGATCACAAATATAGAACCTGAAGAGGTTTGTAGCGAATTGATGTTCAATGAGTAAAGGACCACGCACATTTAGTACGGAAAATGGCTTTCGGCTAATTTTTTCGAAAATTTGATATGTTTCAGATATAAGCGTCCTTATTACACAGTCCAATTTACATATCGATCCTATGACCAGTTTTTGAGCTACAAGGTGTCAATCATTTGATTTTGGCTGTTTAGAATATTTTGCATCGATTTGAATTATGTGCTCTAAGTCGTGATAAATCTTCAGTAGAAATAAACGCTCCACGTCTAATTTCTACTTCATGAATCCCTCTATTCGAATAGATAATGATATCACATTCCATCATGACAAGAGGTAATTTTCATGGGAATAGACAACTATTGAAAATATCAGAATTTCGATTTTTACTGAATCACTGAAAACTTGAAAACAAACGGCTAGAATCGGCCAATTATTTGACACACTATGGATCTTGATCATCAACATGAGGATTCATATAATTTCCTCTGATACAATGTCCGGTTTGCCATATATAGGGTAATGACAGTTTGAAAGCTTAGAATTGATGTAACTCATGTATATACAAAATGAGAAACATATCACGAATGGTTCATAGCTGTTTATATAATACATAAAGTGGAAAATAAAATGTCTCATGAAATACCCCCACCAACCCCTTGAGCCACAATCACCCCAACGTATATCATTTCAACAAGCTCTCTCAATAAGTGAGAACTTATTACAATGAAGTATATTTTGAATTGAATTGAATTGATCTAATACTTTTTTAACTGTTGTTATTCAAAATGCGAGTAAGTTCATTTCTTGTGAATTGAAATAATTGTTTTATCAATAATTCATGTATACTAGATGCTACAATCGAGTTTGTATATACCTTGAAACCTGTTGCAGACACTAACTGACATTCCAGTTCTTCTACTTTGTTTTTCAAATATGAAATCTCCTGCTGAGGATCTATTATTTCATTAATCACAGGATCTGTTGATACCATCGATACTCTTTGGGCAAATCTACAAGTACTTATCGTTTCCTGTAAAGCAAAAAGCTCTCAATATCGACTCATACATATACAGAGGCGAAAACAAAGACTAAATAATCACCGACTAAATGAAGAGATTGAAAGTATTCATTTGATATATTATACAGGGTGGCCCCTTTAGCTACATGGCGTTGAGGTGAACATTTTATTTCGATTTCCATGAATATCTCAAGAAGTGTTTGTCGTACATAGAAAATTATATAGGAAGGTTTTTAGAGGGTGATTTTTTTATATACTGGTTCCCACGAGAAGGAATATCCTGTAATATTCAGAGAACATCGTGAGAACCAAGGGAAATAAGGTTGGAATTGGTGTTCCTCTCAAATTTGTGGAGGTTATATGCCTCGGGGAACACCACCCTTGGCAATGTGTTCCAGAGCTTCGCAGTTCGTTGGATGAACGAGTCATTGGAAAGAGATGTTCTGCAGGTTTCCAAAGTGACCACGAAGGGGTGCAAAGCCTCAACTCGACGGGTTAATCTCGCGGAGACTGCCAACTGAGGAACAATTGTTGATATTTCAGAAGGGCATCGTCCATGAAAATATCCATGAAATAGAGCCAGAACGCCAACTTGTCTACGGTGTTCCAGAAAAGTGAGAGTTTGTGAGCGAGGCATCACCAACGTGACGAATTGCCCTTTTTTGGACAGAATCCAACAGTTTCAGGGTATGTTTGGGTGCTGCACTCCAAATATGGGAACAGTATTCTAGGACAGGTCGGATCTGTTCCTTATAGATCATAAGCAGCTGACTGGAAGTGAAATAGCTCCTGGCCCGAAACAGAAAACCAAGTTTTTGGGATGCACTTTCAGCAATTGATCTCACGTGATTTTCCCAAGAAAGGTTATTGCTGATAGTAATACCAAGCATCGAAATAGATGTCTTCAAAGGTATGGTTACTCCTGGCAAGCTTATGTTGGGCACAGTGAGATCGGCTTTTCTAGAAAAAAGGCATGCTTGTGTTTTGTTCGATTATAAATAAATTAATGATATATATTCGGTGTTTTCCTTACCAGAATGTTGTTCTTTGATACGGCCAGGGTTGCCAACATAGAAGTCATGCAGTTGCCGCTGAGAGAGTCCTTCAAAATGAAAGTCATCATGCTATTTCTGTAAGGGATGTGGCTTCTCCTTGACTCTGACAGGGCCAATATGACTTGTTGCAAAAAATGAAGGGACAAATTTATATGTTTGGCTTCACTCAGTGCCAGTCCTGTGCTCATAGATTTGCAAACCCGTTCTGATCTAAAAATAATTAATCAAGGGGCAAAATTTAAGAAATTAGTCAAAAATATGTACACTGTACAGTGAGGTGCACATGAAACGACTAGTGCTGTTACTTCTGAATCATTCGAGATCGGTTTTTGAAAATTGGTATGTATAGCAAGTATAACAAATGGCTCATTTATTGACAAAACTATTTTTGTTCTGTCATTTATGGTTTCACCGAAAGCGACCCCAACTTTTGATTTTCATATGAGACCCCCTATATTTAATTCCATAATCGGTTAGGGATCATCATGAAGAATTCAACGATACCGAGTTTGATAGGGTTAATCTGATCTCGAATGATTGAGAAGTTACAGCACTAGTCGTTTCTTGAGCACTCCACTGTACATTTCTGAAGATTATTTCTGCTTGTTTCAGTACAAATCTGTGATGAAATGAAGAGAGAAAGAAATATAATTATTATTTCATTACCCTGCTAAATCCACCAAATGCAATTTGGAATATCTCAATTTATTTGATCCAGCATTTCGATGAGTCAGGTAAATCGTAAATATACAGTGTGATCTCGATGAATACTCATTCATTGGAGTCTCAGCGATAGTCCTAAGAAAAAAATTTTTGGGAATGCGTAGTTATTCGACCTATACTAGGTGTATACAGGGTGTCCCGAAATTACATAAAAATATTTCAACCTCAGATTTTAGAAACAAAAATGGTGAAAAAAGTTCATATTTACATATGAGCCCAGAAATGGCAATGTATATAATATGCAGACGACATGTCAATTATAATGTCTGACAGATCAGATTCAGTTTTGAGAGAAAAATGTGACAAAAGTTGTTGAAAATATCAACAAATGGTTTTCTGCAAACAATTTGTTTTTGAACGCAAAAAAAACAGATTCAATGAGGCAACGGAGATGTGATATCATAAGCTTTAGCGAGCTAATGATAATTCTGACAATGTAACAACAGAGTGTGAGAACTTAAAATTTTCAGGTCTTCACATTGATGAACAGTTACATTTTCAGAATCACTGTGACTTTCTGATCAAAGAAATAAAATCTACTTCATATCAGTTCAGGAATATAAGGCAGGTTTTAAATGATGATCAGCTGCTGGAGCTATACTATGCTCAGGTGGATTCCAGACTGCTGCTCTGATGTCTTCATAGCACAAAAAAAACCAATGCGAATAATTAGTGGCAGAAATTTCAAAATTTTAACTGTCCCTAGTCTTTTAGTTCTTGACTTGTGCTTATCTGTGTTCGAGAATAGAAATATATTGTTTGTACTGAATAAATGTGAACATAATATTGATACAAGACAAAAAACAATGTTTTTGTACCATTTCGAAAAACCAAATTAGCTTTCGAATCTCCTAACCAGGTGGCTCTACGTGTTTATAATTTGCTACCAGATTTTATAAACTGTTTCAATGTTTAAACGAACACTCAAAAATTATCTTGTTGATAAGTGTTATTATAGTTAGAGAATTTTTTTGTATAAGTAGATAGTTTTCATCCTTCCTTTTTCAGGATTTTTTTAATTTCCGATCTCCTTTTCTTTTGTTTTTTTTTGACGATTCCTATCGAGATTCCTATACAAATTTTGTAACTTTGTCTTGTAGGAAAATAAACATTATTATTATTATTTCTTCCCCCAATTTTTTTCTCTATGCAATTTTCGGCAGTGTGACCAGGAAATATGAAGATATCATCATTTTTACCTGAAAATGATCCTACCACAAGAGTTTTCAAATTATTATTTTTATTGTTTCTCTCATATTATGACTTAGACATCACAGGTAGATGTTGAAAAAAGGGTATTAAAGGGTATTTTCTATCGAAAAATAATTGGACTTCGGAACTATTTACATAAATCAATCAACTCGGTCTCCCTTTCAGATATCTATAACTCCCAAGCGGGCCATTTCTGGACCCATCTTTACATAAACTTATTTCACCATTTTTGTTTCTAGAATCTGTGGTTGAAATCTTTCTATGTAATTTCGTGACACCCTGTATACCATTATCAGTGGAGTAGGTCCTACCTGTTCGTATCTCCTAGAAATAATAGTCTCATAGCTTCCTGTTCAGTCGTCACAGGCAAAACACTCAAATTGCGAATGTGAGCTTCCCCTTTTTTATCTTCCAACAATGATATTCTCCTGAAGAAAATCATGATTATCTTCAGTCGTATCCTCATATTACTACAGTAGAATATATACAAGGTACATACGGTAGTTCTTCCAAATATCTGGCAGTGTTCAGTTGTTTCGGACTAAGCAAATCGTAGCCGACTTCGTTATAGATCTCCATGTAAGACATATAAATCGTGGGTTTTTCTGATATCTGAAGAATAAGGGTCATGATATTTCACCACACTTTTGTATCACTATCCAAACCGATTTTTCAATCGCCTCGACACGTGTTTCTCCTGAAGATGATAACATACCATACCTTTGAAGACATCCATTTCGGTGCTTGGGATTACTATCAGCAATAACCTTTCGTGGGAAAATCACGTGAGATCAATTGCTAAAAGTGCATTCCAAAAACTTGGTTTTTCTGTTTCGGGCCAGGAGCTATTTCATTTCCAGTCAGCTGCTTATGATCTATAAGGCACAGATCCGACCTGTCCTGGAATACTGCTCCCATATTTGGAGTGCAGCACCCAAACATAACCTGAAACTTTTGGATTCTGTCCAAAAAAAGGCAATATGTCTCGTGGGTGACCTCGCTCACAAACTCACCCACTTCTCTGGAACACCGTAGAAAAGTTGGCGATCTGGATTATTTTATAGATATTTTCATGGACGATGCTCTTCTGAAATATCAACAATTGTTCCTCCCTTGGCAGGCCCCGCGAGATTAACCCGTCGAGTTGAGGCTTCGTGGTCACTTTGGAGACCTGCAGAACATTCCTTTCCAGAGACTCGTTCATCCAACGAACAGCGAGGCTCTCGAACACATTGCCAAGGGAGGTGTTCCCCGAGGCATATAACCTCCAGAAATTCAAGAAGAACACCAATCCCTAATTTCCCTTAGTTCTCACGATGTTCTCTGAACATTACAGGATATCCTTTTTCGTGGGAACCAGACCATAAAAAAACATAGTTAGCAAAACACGTGTCGAGGCGTTAAAAAAATCAGTTTAGTTATGGTGGTAAAATAGTGTAGTGGATTATCATGCCAACTACTATTAATCGAGAATATCGAGATATTTCAAGAAAAAGTTCGAAATTTCGCCTTCTTTCTCCCTTTGTGTTGGATGCATTTACAGGTACTATGCTCTTTTTATTTTGTCATTGGACACTCCATATACTCATGATGTACTTCAATGTCACATTTATTTATAGAAAATTCAATAGGAAATATGATTTTTATGGCGAGTTTTTTATGTTTAGTGAACAAGCATACCAGATGACGGCCATTAAATCAATAGTCAATCCAAATACGAGATGTCAAATGTCAACAGATTGCTTTTGAATGACATTAGATACGCCATTATTTTAAATGATATTCTTCCTTCTTTTCACTAAATATGAATAAATCGCAAGAATATGATGTTTCTAGGACACTCATATAATAGAAAAATATGTGTCGTACATTGTGATATATACAGGATGAGTCGGGAGAAATGCACAAAACTCCAGGTGTGTATTGTACACGTAAAAATAATATGAAAAACGCCATATGTTCTGATACGATTCTCATTTGTTTTCATTTCAAATTTGAATAGATTCGTGGCATTACATATGACTTTGATTGAACAAACTCGATTGTTTCATCTCGTCAGTGTCAGTGTGTTTGACGCTTTTATTTTCGAGTTTATACGATTAAAGTCTAATAAAATGGCACACATCTATTCGAATTTATAGAATGAAAACAAATGAGAATCGTATAAGAACATATTGGTTTTTTCAAATTATTTATACCTGTACAATACACACCTGGAGTTTGGTGCGTTCCTCCCGACTCATCCAGTATAAATTGTCCAATGATGAAAAAAGAAGGACAAATTGTTCTAAATGCATTCCAGAACACAGGCAGAAAAGAAGGTGAAATTTGTAACTTTATAGTGAAATATCTCAATAAATAATGGTTTGTTCACATTTTCATCATCAAATTCGTGTTCTTCAGACAAAAGTTTTCGAAAAAAAAACCCTTTGCATGATAAATGCAGTTTTACCCGGAAAGAATATAATAGATTTTTGTATCATTCCGGTAGAATGATTCTCTTGACCTAAAGATTTATTTTTTGCCACCATGTATGTCTGCCAACGTTTCCTATTTACCTTCTCATTTCTTCGAAATACGTACTGTATACACCTCGGAATGATTCCCCTGTCATTATAGCACTTGGGCGAGCCAGTAATGGTGAACGTCTTACCGCTTCCAGTCTGAAATCGAAATGGAATCCATATCGAAATGCCGGATTGCGGATTGGCTTCCGCGTCTTTCATTTCATTATCGTTTGAAAAAGTTCGTACGCACCTGGCCGTAGGCGAAAATCGTACCGTTAAAGCCCTCGAGCACACTGAAAATCAAAACATTGCACGTACAGCATGCGAAACTTGTAATCATACTATCAGAATTTCATACAGCAATTTTCTTTGATTATGATACACGCCTATTCCAAGATCAAATGAGATTTCTTCAATTTCCTGAAACCGACCAATCACCAGGCATTTGTGGTGAAAATTTCACACCAAACATTTTCGATAAATTTAAAGCCTGTATATATTTCGTATCGTTACCATAGAAACTAAACAAATTTCTTGGAAATTTTTTCCTCATCCTTGGGGGACGGAGCATGAAATTACACTGGACATTTTTTGACGTTCATAGGTTAATGACATTTACATTCAACTCCAGATTATTAAATTGTCTTACCAAATTACACATGCACTAGCTTTTTTTTAGTCGAAATAACCTCATAAATAAACTTATAAAAAATAAACCAAATATGATCTCTCAAAATATTCGAAATTATCAAAAATGATTGAATTTCATCAAATAACTATACACTATACCGAAAATGTGTGGGTATCTCCATCTCAAAAGTGACACACTGTATTTATATTTACAGGGTACGATTTGTTATTCCCAATACATCAAGCATCGCAAAATCTTCATAGTATGTATGATATCACAACACATAAAAGTGAAAAAATAACAACGTTTATTGAATATTCGTAAAGAAAGTATAGACTTCTACTTGCGTATAATAGCTGTATAGGGTGGTGGGTAGCAGTAGCAAGCATACCTGTTGATAACTGGTACGGCAACTGTCTCAAATATTTCAGACTGGCACGATTTCTGGTCAAATATTTTGTGAAACCTGAAACATATACTCATAGGTACCGAGTAATTCAATTTGTTCGGTAGACCAGGTTCGATAATTTTTTAAACCGAAAAATAACTATAGTAGAATGAAACTCATTGGAAAAGGAAGGGAATATAACAAATCATGTTACATTGATGAACAAAACAATTTCAAATTCATTAAGATTGCAAAAAACATGCGAAAATGGTTGTTCTAAATAATGAAGGGGATTTCATCTTGAAAATGTGACTGCTGGTTTTTCGTTCTTTTGCATTATCTGAGAACATTCACCACAGTAATGTATATATTCTTTCACACCATCAGTAAGTAGATAATTCAACGAACAATAAGCCGATATTAAGTCAAAATGAGGTCAAAAAATTAACATTTCAAATCAAAAACTTGGTTATTCGAACTCACCACTTCCTGACCTTAGATCGCCAGTAATTTATTTTCAATTCCATCATTGTTATATCCTCTTCCTTTTCTAAAATGATTCATCCTACTATGATTTTGTTTTTTCATGTTTTACCATTTTTAAATGCTTCAGCACTGGTCTATGGGTATAGTGATTAGTATACAGGGCGTTCCTGGGTATTTCTTTGATTTATTTTCAGAAAGAAAGAAAACTTCATATCAAAAGTGTATTTGGGACATTCAAATAAAAATCCAAAAACTTGGTTATTCGAATTTCTCACATAATTTTTGAGGTTTCGTGAAAAAAGTCTTGAGATGAAAGATCTTTTTATTATATACCTACAACTTTGCGATGGGGCTTGTAAATTTGCCGGAAATCGGGATGAATCGTTTTTCACCCTCGAAAACTCTAAAAGTCTCAACTTTTGTGATACAGGGTGATGAAGTTTAGAAAAATATTCAGTTTTTTGATAATAACTGACACAATATTGTATACATCTTCATGAAATTTGATACACGTCTTTAATGCATCAAGGTGCATTTTCTGATGTACAAAAATTTTCATTCTCTCCACCAGTGGCACCGTTACGGGAATATTATTCATTATTCCGAATTTTTTGGGATTTTCTCTCCTCGTTTCTATAAAATGAAAATATGAATATTATTTCAATATACGTGTAGTAAGGACAAATCAGATGATTTGCCCCAAAATGTCACTGCGTTTAAAGAATTTTCCTATCAGAGAGCCTAAAAGAAAAATTCACTAGCTTGTCAGTGACAATTTGTATTGAAAAAATTTTTGGAGAAGGGAAATAAAGGTATATAGAAAAATATCGAATTTTCACTTATCTTTGGACGTTTCGGGACCGGTTCTGCTCCCGTTTTCAACATGAAAAGAGATTATTTCAATAGCGAAGTCGTAAAATGTCTTGAAGCTTTTCAGTTTTCAATGACAATTGGTGACGTTGGCAATCAAATGAGTTACAGGATGTTTTCATTAATTGATCTTGAATTTACCATTTTCATGTTCAGATTTTAGTAGTGAATACCATGTTCTGTCTATATCAACTGAACAAGAAGCAATGCTATTGTCTCCGTTCAGAAGAATGCAAGCAGATTCTTTGATTTTCCTCTTCTGGTTGTTATCTTCTTTTCCAATAATTTTAATATTATTCCACTCTGCCATATGTTGTCCGTCTTCAGTAAGAATATGTTCAGCTAGTTTCGATTTATCGATGTTTCTTTTCTTTATATTGTACTTATGTTCTTTCGTCCTCACTGAAAGAGGTCTCTTGGTTTCACCTGTATAAAACTTTCCACAAACACAAGGTATACTGTAAATGCAATTTTTTGACGATTGTTCTTCATTTTTCGGCTTTGTTTGAGTTAGAATTGATCTCATTGTATTTTCAGTTTTGAACACAGTTTTCACTTGAAATTTATCACCAACACGTTTGATTTTTTCAGATATGCCGGGAATGTATTGGTATTATATTTGTCGTTATTGATGGTTGATTTTGTTGTGGTTGACCCTGTTTGTTTTCAATTTGATGAATCGTCCTATCGACAAAATTCTTTGGATAAGAATTGAGTTGGAGAACATTTTTAATGTGGTGGACTTCGTTATTGAAAATTTGTTGGTCAGATGATATTGATTTGGCTCTATCATGGAGTGATTTGATTATTCCTTTCTTAATACTTTTCTGATGATTTGATTGAAAGTTCAAGTATCTGTTAGTATGGGTCTTTTTACGATAAACACTCGTTACAAAGATGTTATTTGATTTTTCAATAAGAACATCTAGAAACGGTAATTGATTATTAGATTCAATTTCCAAAGTGAACTTTATTGTAGGTTCGGCATTGTTCACATAATCCAGAAAATTATCTAGCTCCATAACGTTATGAGGCCAAATTATGAAAATATCATCTACATATCGCCACCATGTTTTAGGTTGTTTTTGGTAATTTTTGATGATGTTGTCTTCAAAATTCTCCATGAATATATTGCTTAAAATTGGAGATAATGGCGATCCCATGGCCATTCCAAAGTTTTGTTGATAAAACTCATCACCCAATTGAAAATATGTTGTTTTTAGACACAATTCCAAAAATTCCATTATTCCTTCGATACTTAGATTAGTTCTTTCAGTGAGACTTTCATCGTCTTCTAATTTATGTTTCACTATTTGTAAAGTTTTATCTATTGGAACATTTGTGAATAAACTTACTACATCAAAACTAACAAGAGTATCATTTGTATCAAGAGTGATGTCATTAAGCTTTTCTAAGAAATGAGGAGTATTTCTGATATTATTGTTTATATTTTACTCAAAAGTGAGCAACGACAAAAAAAATTTCAAATTTCATGCAATGTCATGAATGTGAATATTATGTACAAAAAAGATCATCTTGTTGATACTCGATAGAACGCTTCGTTTTCGAGAAAAAACGGAAAAACGAGACCAGACTTCAAATATTGGGATCGAAATGGGCAATGGGGCAAGAGTGGCCCAACGTTCTACACTGTGAATTTTATTCCCCAATCTCATTGGGCCCCCCCTGTATATCATGGGTAACATCTTGAACTTTCATAATAAAAATTGTAGCTTGCCTAAATCCACATGATCCAACACTCACGTTCGAGGAATCTCTGTTGAAAACTATATCATCGAAGCCGTTTTTCTTTTTGAGTATATCGTAGGTCTGAAAAAAAGCTGATATGCACCTGAAATTTCGGGAAATTATAGGAATTAATCTTACTCCTGAGTTGTATCTACCATTTTCCTTTTTAAGTCTCGCGTAAACTTTTATCGAAGAGTTCACCATTTTGACACAGTACTTGTCAAAAGTAAAACATATTTTGAAGTTTATATATCTTCGTTCTATACTGTATGCTCGAACCAATAGGAGAGTTTTTTTCTCTTTTCCTTTGTCTACAGTGGTGACAATTGACACTAAATAAAAAAAATAAACTATATTTATATTTGCTGAATCAATCAGTATGATATATTAATCTCAAATGAAATAGTATACTCCCTGTTAGTATATAGATATAGATAGATAGATATTTCGACAGAAAAAAATCCTAAAGTTTGAAAAACTCGATTCTGAACACCCTATATCTCTATAAACATTCCCGCTAAACCCCGAGTGTGATACATTGATGAAATCAGCTCTTCAGGAAGAATCTAAAAATACAATGAAATACAGGGTGTTTCATTTGAAAAAATCAATTAGTACTCTGTAAATCGTTTGTTCCGAGCACCCTGTATTTTCTGATGCAACTGAAAAATAATTTCTGAAAAATCATTTCAGATTATTTTTCAAATTTTTAAATAAGTTCAAAATTAAGTGAGCTAGAGGGGGGGACATTTATGGTGAATCACCCTGTACATACTTACAACATCGTATGAACAGTGGAAAACCATTAAACGAGAAAAAAATTCTCTCGGTGCACATTTTTGCTCACCCTGTATGAAGTGGATTCGTCCGATAAATTCCTGATGCGTATCCTCTCTATCCTGCATCAACTCTCCATTCCTGGTGCATTTTCGATGGGAGATGGTGCAACTGCGATAGGATAGGACCATATCTTGGTAACCTCAAATCGATTTTTGCGTGCGCGGTTATAGAGCAAAAGTATGGTCGTGCGCCGATTGGGAATGTGGTCGTTTCCACCAAGGGCCGATTTTGATATCCCAGAACCGAAACCAGAAACATTTGGGGGAGACCACTGATTTTTTGAAACGACATTATCGTGAACTCTATACTGAAAAACTACCAGTGAATTAATTTTGAATTTTTTCATTCATGCTAAGACGATGAAAAAAATAAATTAGTATATGTCCATTTCAAAACACACAATTCCTGCGCCATTTGAAATTTCATCAATTCATTGGTGTGACTGGTGCGACGTCTTAGTCCCAACACGCCTATTGTCCTTGAACTGACCAATTACACTGCAACACTGCAGAATGACGAGGTATCAGAGAGAGATAGCTACAGTTCGGGACTCTTACGTCACGACTCCACCATTATATTTGGCTGTTTGAAATATCGAATGAAATATGCTGATTTCAAAACGATATAGATACGATTTCCTTCAACTTCAACTCATAATATTGATTGTACATAAAATGTAAATCATGATTCTTCGATTGAAAGAGGTTTGCACGGATTTCTTCCCTCAGTGATCTTCCCCGTTCATTAATTCATATGAAAACATTTGAATTCGATAAATAATGATGAAATGTTAAGATACAATAAGTTTTTTTCGTGATTTGGTTCTTCTTAAATTTCTGGAGGTTATTTGCCTCGGGAAACACCTCCCTTGGCAATGTGTTCCAGAGCCTCGCTGTTCGTTGGATGAACGAGTCTTTGGAAAGAGATGTTCTGCAGGTCTCCAAAGTGACCACGAAGGGGTGTGAAGCCTCAACTCGACGGGTTAATCTCGCAGGGAGAAACAATTGTAGATATTTCAGAAGGGCATCGTCCATGAAAATATTCATGAAATAGAGCCAGATCGCCAACATTTCTACGTTGTCCCAGAGAAGTGAGTGAGTTTGTGAGCGAGGCATCTCCCACGAGACGAATTGACCTTTTTTGAACAGAATCCGGTTTGGGTGCTGCACTCCAAATATGGGAACAGTATTCCAGGACAGGTCGTTATACTCTCATAACCAAGCATAAAGTTCCATTTAACGTATACTAAATACTTTTTTCTACAAAATTTTCGCAGAATAATAAGTTCGTTGCGAATTCATTGATGTTGCGAAAGTCAATTATTGATAAAAATGTGTTCTACACAGGGTATTTCATTACACATTTATTAGTAATCGAAGGCGACGATAAGAAAAAATAAATGCGATCCAAGTTTTTGTAAACATTGATAATATCCAAGATTATTATTTTTATAATATTATCAATATGGATTATAAATGATCGATGAATACACTATTTTTTCTTCGACCAATAAAATATGATCAACATTTCCATCAACATCTCCAGTCTATGAATTGCCTGTACTTTTGACTCATTGTGATTGAAGGTCAATTGCAATTGAATGTTTAAAAACACTAACAAGTATGCAGAAACATAAACCACTTGAATATACCGGAGTACCTACGTGTTACTATAGGCTGAAAATTTGTTTCATAATGAAAAGTACGTGTTTTCATTGGCCAAAATCTGTTTCATGATGAGAATCTGTGTTGAACTGAAGAATATCATAAAATCGGTAGCAGATATTCAATACGGGAGTAGAATCATATACTAATGTGGAAATGAAAATTCAGTTCATTTTCGTTTCAGTTTGCTGATTCCTCAGCCGTTTGAAATGATCCTATTTCTGAATTATCGCTCTTGTGTTAGTAAACGTCAATGCAAATGTCAACAAACAAATTTTGTCCATCCCACTTCATTTTCGCCGATATCCAGTATCTTGTATACATTTGTTTTATCGGAAATAGCATTAGCTCGACGCAGTAATGTAATGTTTATAATGAATACCAGTGGCGTAACTTCTTCAACAAAAAATACTGCAGCGTCAATATTTCATAATTGGTGACCTGACCTTATTTTGGTCAGGTTGGGTCGAAATTTTCAAGTTTTTTTCTATTTGTCTCTGAAAAGTTGAATTCATTATTGAGCAAGTAGGTACCTATATTTACCACTAACTGGACTTTCTATGACAAGATTCAATAGTAGTCTATATTTACTTCAATCAGATATGAAAATTTATTCGTATGTACTTATCGGTGTACTAGATAGTAATTTACCAAAGAAACTGTCTCTAATTTTTGTCGAACTGATATACATTTTTTTTATTTCGTGCTTCCAAACGTTTTTCAAGTGCTGTCAGTCGGGAATTGAACGTTTCGGTTCATTGGATTATCTTATTGTTATCTCATCAAAATCATAGGAAAGGAAGATAAAAACCAAAAAAGAAAAATCAAGGAATGCGCTTGCATTCTTCTAATCTAAACGGAGACAATAGTATCGCTTCCTGTTCAGTTGATATAGATAGAACATGGTATTCACTACTGAAAACTGAACATGAAAATGGTAGATTCAAGATCAATTAATGAAAACAACCTGTAACTCATTTGTAGACTAAAATCACTCATTCTTAAGCCAACATCAGTATGACACTGAAAAGTGTCAAACTATAAGCAGCACAACATTCAAAGAGAAATATTTTGCATTTACATGTTGAGAACGGGAGCAGATTCGGTCCCGAAACGTCCAAAGATAAGTAAAAATTCGATATTTTTTCAATATATCTATATTTCTTTCATCATAACACACAGGGTGTCCGAAAAAACGAATCATCATTTTCTTCAAATTGGTGATCAACAAATAATGTAGTTCTGTGGTTTTTCTAGAAAGAAATAATCACAAATTATCATTAGGAATTATTTCAAATATACCTGTACCAATTTTCGTCATCTGAATATACAATGTGTCTGAGAAAAAAATTAAAAAGACTGGGTAAGCAATATTTTTCATCCTGATAATTCTTCACCCAAAATAAAAAGATGGATCAGGATCACTTGGAATATACCTGTGCCGATTTTCATCATCATTAAACACAGGGTGTTCGAAAAATCAATTAATATTTTTTTTGAGTTGATGAAAAAATATTGCCTACTTTTTCTTTTCAATTGTTTTCTCATATACATCGTATTTTTGAATGATGAAAATCGGTACAGATATGTTCAAAGTGATCCTCAATAATAATGTGTCATCAATTCTTCTCAAAAATACCACAATACTACATTTTCTGATCACCTATTGAAAAAAACATAATTCGTTTTCTCGGACACACTGTGTTTTATGATGATAAAAATCAGTAAAGGTGTTTTTCATGTGATCGTGATTCAGAATCAATCATTGTTTTTTGTGAAAAAAAATCCCTAAAAGTACTTTCTCAAATATGGGTCAATAAAGTTGGTCGCAGTTGGCCACGATTACAGTTCATGAGTAAAATCACTCTCTTATTGGATGGACATTTCAAATACCTATCCAACAAAAAAAAGTTTTTTGAAATCGGTCAGATAATAACAATTTTACAGGGGTGGTAAGTCCTTAAGGTGGACACACTGTATATAAATATATATTTGTATGAAATGAAGCATGGGGGATTCCGAACTACGTCACTGCCTAGAAGATATCGTTATCAGGTGATATACTGGCAGTGAAATTGTCATAATAGTGTTTTTCACCTTCATCGGTATTGCAGCAATTAACTCAATTCAATATTGAAAAACCGACCAGCAAAACTTCGTGATTTTTAGTATAACACTACTATATCATTTTACATACAAGGATACCGGTATAACTGATAACATAATATATAGTGAACTGTTTAAATTGTTAGTGATTCCTCACATTTCCGTATTGGCATCGATGCAATTTTTCCTCATCAGAACTCATCAGCACTGCATGAGTATTCCCAGTGTTTGGTCATTGTTTGGTGGAGGACATTTAGAAAAATCTATCTCGCTTCCATTTCTTCTGACTTCTGATAGATAATGCTTTTCTCACTCAAAAAGTAAAATCATGCCGATATCGGATGCATATCAGTAGTTGAGTTGCTGAACTACCATACGGTTTTTCCTCGCGGTTTTCAGACCGGAACTAACCTAACCTTATCAAGACTCAATTATTATTATTGCGGAAAACCTTTTGAACCGTGGTGGAATAGTTTGTCAACCGATAGCCGGGCCAGTTCCAATCGCGACCACTGAAATAAAACACGGGATCAAGTAGCCATATAAATAAAAACAGTCGTTTCATGTGTCTTTGCAACAAACTATTTTTCCATAATTTGTGTGAGTTATAGTGCAAGTATAGTGACAAGTTTTTGTGATAACATTCTCCGGGAAAATTGGTGCTGAAAC